AATTTATCGGGCAGCGAGATGTCGAAACAATTCGCGTGCTAGGCCGTTCTTTCTTGGCAAGCGATGAGATTGCGATAGCGATCAAAGGAAATAGAGGCATCAAGCGTCCGTGTGCATCACGAATATTACCGCCGGGACCATTGCATTTGGATATAAAGTAAAGACACTGCTTATAATGTCGGTCTGCATGAACCAAGTAATCTTCCTTTACAAACGTTATTTCGCAAAACGGAACCTACGGTCCTTTTTCGCCTTTTCCAACTTCAAGCCTTGGTCTTGCCGCGCGCCAAGAGATATACGAAAGCCATTTGTCGGCATCGATGTGTGCGTGTACACGTCTAACATGTGCACACGTGCGCGTATCTACCGATTTCACGAACGGAGTTCTTGTATAACTCCGGTTTGCCGGAACTTTAATAGGAATTCTCGTAGAGACGATCGATCGAGCAGTCGTCCGCCACCGTTTGAGGAGTAACTCCAGTTTTCAATTATTACAAACGTCATCGGATTGGATTTCAATTATTGTGAACGTCAGTGTTCCCACTGAAGTGCGCGAGGTGCCATGGTGCAACGTAATTAAGTTGTGGAAAAGAATCCTAGATGTACGCGATGCGGACTCAGCCTCGTGATTTCTTATGAATTTGTAAACCATTTTCGATTTGATATAAAATATATGAAAAAAAAAAAGATATATGATATACGTGTATACGTATGCTTAACACGCGATTTTATAGTTTAGACTAAAATTTTGAATAAGTTTTTGAATTTCCTACTTATTTGTTTGATTAGTTTAAGTGGAAAATTAAAAAGAGAAGTTAATTATATAAACATAAACTTCTTAGAGAAAGAATTGTAGAATACCTTATCTATTTTACAATAAATGTTATAACAAATTGAAAATCTTTTATATAAATCACTTAATTTCTATGAAGATATAACACTCTATTTTCAAAATTTTGATTTAATTTATATATATATATATACACACACACACACACACACACATGGTATTTTAATTCTGTCTTGTGTAGTAAAATTATTTTGCTCTAATATCAATTCTAACTCAGAATGTAGAATAATATCTATCTTTACTTATTAAGAATTTGTGAGTTAATAAAAACTAGTGACTGTATTATCGCTTTTAAATTCTACCTATCTTTATAAACTGATTATCATTATTAAATCGGTTTACCAGTAGATGATTTGCCCCGTGGGAGCTATTTCCTCTTCTCTTCCTCCATGGCTATTCCTTTTCCCCGGCCTCCGCTGACTTGTCTGCCATCGCCGACGAGCGAGCGGCGAGAAATATTATCGGCGACGCCCGTTAAATATCGAGCCCGTTAAAACGCCACCCATCCCGGATAAACGCCCGACACCCGAGCGACAATAAATCCGCGGCCCACCGCGCTTGCATGCTATTGAATATCGCGCGAGCTGGATTTCGTGGGAACCCCCGACCCTGTTGTCGGACCGCGGATTTTGGCGCAGCGCTTCTGCTCGTTATATGCCGCAATTAATTATGATAAGCAGTAGCGACGATTAATAGTCGCCGCACTCTCGAGAAGAGGCGGTAATTACTTCCACGCGGCAGTTACCGGTGATAACTCTCTAACGTGGCTGCCATAAACGCGCGATGCGCAAATTGCAACCTTCCTCTCGAGAAATATAAAAAGGAGTAGTAGTCCGAAAATTTACTAGGTATTAGAAAATGTAGGTAACATATGCCATCCGTGAATTTTTTAAATAATTTTAAATTACTTTAAAATTATATATCCATGTTTGTCGGGATTTGTAGAACTGACAAATTCTCGAGATAGAAAAGATAAAGACTTAATATTACTTATTTCTCGACAGATAAGGTCTTTCCCTTTACAAACAAAAGCAGCCTTTTAAATCTCTTTTCTTTTCTTTTTTCAATTTATTCATAGTTTCGTAAAATTTAACTTGTATTTTCTGCTTAAATGAAGATTTTCAGCATACTTAGTATCAAGATATTCGATATCAAGATACTCGGAAAATTTATGTAGAATATAGATAGTTTGTCTTTATAAATTTTTAATCGATTTAAACGACAGATTTAATTTTGTAAAATGTACGAGAAGATTTCAGAAAATTGTAATCTATGAAATTTTAAATATAGCGAATTTGATGCAAAAAGAATTTTGTTGCGACGAACCGTTGCGGCAATATTAATGTTATCGCCAAATAAGACTTCGGTCGTGAGATAAAAAAGCGCGGAATCTCGCGAAAACACAAAGCGCACCGCGCTCGACGACTCGGAGACGATGCGACGAGGATGGCATGCGATTCGAAACCATCCCTGAGTGGTGCGATACAGCTCCCCGAAGTTTGCGTACAAATACCAAGGAGGAGCAATGCGAGGATCACTCATTACGTTTTTTCGAGCTCCTTCGTGTCACGGATCCGTGCGAGTTTCAACTCGGAGAGTCCTCTGCATTAACTTAATGAGAGACCGAGCCCTCTATATTAAATTATCGAGAAGCCGAGTCTTCAAACCGAAAATAATATTTGGAATGACCTCCCACATATATATGTACATACGCGATAAAGATAGTAATTCATGTAACATAAGTGTAAGTACAAGCAACAAATTTACTATTATTTTATGTGATAGATCGTAGATCTCTATCAATTTTTTGAAATACAGAGATATGTATTTGATGAAATCGGAGAAATACATACTGCACGGACAACACAGTGATTGATTTCTGAAATCGAAATATTGATATTTCCTCACATATTATTGATTGTTCTCGCATACCGCTCGATATATCCAAATTTAAAAAAATTTCAATCGTATTAATTCCATTTATTCTATTTGCTGAAAAAAATACACGGATTAAAAGTTTTAGAAAATACACGGATTGAAATAAAAAAAAGGTTGAAATTTTAAAAGATTTTTATATATATATATAAAATTTATTTTGTTTCGATAAGAAACATATAAAAACTTTTCTCGTGATAATGAAAGTAATATATATAAATCCACGTGTGTAAAAAAATATTTATTTGATATTTTTAAGAAGTAATATTAGAGATTTATAATTTATAATCATTTAATTATGTTTTGATTATAATTTATAATCAAAACATATAGAACATAGAAATTTTTGATCATAATTTGCTTCAAGCGACGATTTTAAAATGCAAGTATAGAAAAGGTGAAAAGACTTTTAAACTTTTCTTGCGATTACACAAGTGATATATAATGGAAGATGTAGTTTCTTTCGTGCAGTTCGTAGTATACTTCAATTAAGACAAGTTCACTTTACCTTTTTTTTACTTTGTTGTCTTCTAATTAATAATTAATTGAGGAACTGAGAATATGAAACCTTAAGTTACACGTATAATAAAACTGAATTAAAAATGTTAAAATAATTTTACAAAAAATAGTTATTTAATTATTTTTGTATAAATTGGGAAATAATGATATCTGTTCAATATATGATGTTGAAATAAATAAGTTATTTATTGCTAATATTTATTTTAAACATTTTATGTATTTTTCTTTAAAACTGTATGTTTAATATATTATTTATATATTATATTATATAATATATAATATATTATATATTATTTATATTTTAATTATTTTTAACTTGCAATTTTTTTTACTAATCATTATTCATCAAACAAAAAACTAAATAATCTCATTCTTTGCGTACTTTGTGTACTTTCTTTTGTCATTTAAATCTTTAAATGAGAGCACTTTTTCCATCCATGAAATTGTCCTCTCAGGTAATTCGTGGATGGCGTGCACAAGATCCTGTCCGATAGACGTAGAGGAGGTAATGTTGTTTCTCGCTTTTCGCAAAACATATTTGGCCCCTTGCGTTAGATAAACCTTAGCTCTGTATCTTTATGTAAGGGTTTTAATTAAATCTGGCACGAAATACCGCGATCCATCGTATCTCGCGCGTCCGCGGTGCGAAATTGTAATGGCCAGTCGCGGTTAACCAATGAGTCCGCTAGATAATAGTCTAAATCCCTTCACTGCGACACAGCTTTATACGCCTATCACACGTTTGCATTCCTTTTACGCTAACGCGATGTACGGAACGCAGCTGACTTCTATACATCTCACTACACAATGAAGATTTTATCAATGCATTAAAATGCATACGGATTTCCGATCCACAATCTCACATAGAATAACAAAATGAAAATTATTTTTTCTTATTATTCTACACTTTTATCTCAGTTATCACAGTTTGCCATTTTATCATTTTATTCATCTTTTTTCTTATCTTTTATTTATATCTGTCGAAACTCTTATTCTTATGTTTAATGATCTCAGTAAATGATTTGATATCATTTTAAGCTAGACTTTCATAA